CCGGTCAGGCGATTTCGAGCTCGAAATATTCAACATATACATACCCCCTGTCACCTGCTGCCCGGCAGGATATCACCCTGATATAGGTGCGCTCCTCAGAGGTGAAAACCGTATGGTAGTAGGTGACTTTAATGCGCACCACGATCTTTGGCACTCAAGCCTGTCAAACGATCGTAGGGGAACAGACTTGGCTGAGCAGATAGACGATTCGAAATTCTGCACAATGAACGACGACGCACCCACCAGGATTATGGGTAACTGCAGTAGCTCGCCAGACATCACAATAGTCAGCGCTGGTCTGATAAACAGCATAACGTGGCGACCTATGCTGACTCTAGCATCAGACCATCTACCCATAGTCATCTCGATTGATAAACCAACCGACTTTGCCTCCGCCAAACACCGGACCTAAAGCTGATTGGAAAGGTTACGCGGAGTTTACTGAAAACACCTTCGCATCGCTCCCCACACCAACCAACGTCCATCTCGGTGAACGTAAGTTCCGCAGGGCTATCACTGCTGCTGCAGCTCGCTTCATACCGGCAGGGTGTATATCGGACCCACGTCCAAACTTCCCTGCCGAAGCGGCTGTTCTAGCCAATGAGCGTGATAGCCTTCGTCAGGCCGATCCCGGAGATCCCCGTATCAGGGATCTCAACGCGGAGATTCGGCAACTTGTAAACGTACATAAGCGGAAGAAGTGGGAGGAGCATCTGAAGACTTGTAACTTAGCCTCTGGTGTGAGCAAGCTTTGGTCAACCCTGAGGTCATTGTCTAATCCGACGAAGCACGACGACAGAGTCGAAATTTCCTTCCGCGACCATGCTTCGTCGGACCCGGAGCGTTGCGCGAGCTATTTTAGCCGGCAGTTCATACTGCATCCTCCGGTGGACAAAGCCAAGCGTAGAGTGACCAGAAGGCTGCACAAACTGCCAACAACTTGTGCCCCCCTTGCTTTCACTTGCGGTGAAGTTCAGGTGGCCATCGGGAAGGCGAAAGCCTCCAAAGCCATGGGTCCCGACGGAATATGCATGCTGATGCTGAAAAATTTGGGTCCTGCGGGGGTAGCGTACCTAACGGAGGTCCTCAATTTGTCAATGGCCACTCTCATCATCCCAGACATCTGGAAGGTGGGGAGAGTGGTCCCACTGCTCAAACCGGGGAAACCTGCCAACAAAGGAGATTCGTATCGTCCGATTACACTCCTTTCCCCGGTAGCGAAGACACTCGAGGCCTTGCTACTCCCGTACTTCACAAATCACCTGACCCAGCGAAGCATCAGCATGGTTTCCGTAAACAACAACAGCACTTAACGCCATAATCACTCAGATAACTCGTGGCCTTAACCGTAACCGTCCCTGTGAGAGAACGATTCTAGTAGCGTTGGACTTGTCAAAGGCGTGTGACACCGTCTGCCATTCCACGCTACTAGAAGATATAGAGGCCTCCTCTCTCCCACAGAGGCTCAAACGGTGGTCGGCAAATTATCTAAGTGGTCGACATTCGTCGGTAATGTTTAGAGACAAAACGAGTAAGCAGCGAAAAATAAAACAGGGGGGTTCCTCAGGGTGGTGTCCTTTCCCCGCTACTGTTTAACTTTTATATTTCAAAACTCCCTCAACCACCAGAGGGAGTCTCGATTGTCTCCTATGCCGACGATTGCTCGATTATGGCGACTGGGAATGGAATTGATGACCTGTGTTCGAAAGTAAACGGCTATCTCTCCGAACTTTCTCGCTTCTTCACTGCAAAGTGTCTAGCCCTCTCCCCTACGAAATCCTCCGCGACCCTGTTCACAACCTGGACGAAGGAGGTCAGGCTACCGCTGCAAGCAGTTCCTGATCGGGAGCCACAGAAGTGGCCACCCAAGCAGACAGCTGCTTGCAGAGGAGCCCTCGCCTAGGCACGTCAGGAGGCATCTATATGAACTAACGGACGAAGTCCAGAGGTTCATTAAGCAACCTCTGGACCCGACAGCTTACAGACAGGCCCTGAACGGCATTCACAGGGACTCAGTCTCGAGTTATGTAGACTCTAGACCTGTGAATGCCGTTCTAGGCACACCACCCCCGGACATAGACGAGACGGAGCTTCATCTGCCTCGGGAGACACGCACTACACTCGCACAACTTCGCTCCGGCAACTGCAGCAGGTTAAACTCCTACTTGAGTAGGTTGAATGAGGATGTGCCGAACGAATGTCCGGCATGCGGAGAGACCCCACATGACTCGAAACATCTCTTCGCATGCCCGGAAAACCCGACATCCCTAACGGCCTTGTCCCTATGGGCAAACCCCGCAGAAGCTGCACGCTTCCTAGGGTTGCCGTTAGTGGAACTTGACGACAACGACTGAGATACCAACCGCGATCTGGGCGGGGTTGTTGTAGCCGCTACAACAACAACAACAACAATCTTCCCAAAAATTAGGCAATTTAACAGATTTTGATAAATTCGCACTTAAGTTATTTCCATTTGGAAAGTTATTAGATTTTATACTTTGTGTAATGTTTATGTCTAATGTGTGTATTGGATTTTCATGGTGGTTTTCTGTTGTTGTTGTAACTGGAGAAGAAGTGTATAAAATAAATATAAGTAATAATTTAGATTAACATGAATAATATTTATGACGAAAAAAAAATATTAAAAGTTAAAAGAAATGGTAATGAAAATTGGTTATATTAATATAAAATTATTTATATTAGTTGTAGTTAATAATTCTAAATTTCTTTTAAAAATTTTGATTTTAAAATTTAATTATATTTAAAATGGTAGGTTGATAAATCTCCAAATTATTTTAAATTAATTTTGTCTTTTTTATGGTTAATAAATTTGATTTTAAAAACAAATAAACTAAGTCGGAGAGCAACTTTTAAAACATTAACAAAAACTAAATGAATAAACAAAAGACTTCAGACACGAATTTTTTTTTTATTTTTTTTTTTTTTTTTTGAAAAACACAAATTTTATTCCTTCGTTACCTGTGACAGCAAAACTGAAAATAACTTCTGTGACTGTTGCTGCGTTAGTTGTTGTTGTAGTAGCTGATTATACTTTCTGGAATCTATCTAAACAATGATGTACTTAACGTATGATCTTAGGACTGCAATTAATCAGTTCATGGAATTGATTGTTGGACAAAAAAAAAGACTATATTGCTTCAAATCAATGATGTCCCGAAGCAAAAGTCGATTGATACCCGTCTGTTCAACAGTTTATTTAAAGTACCGGCAGTGGATGGAAATTGTATTGTTTAATAAATTGCGTTTGTTGCTCATATGCTTGCACATATGGTTGTTATTGTGTTGGTAGTTGCTGCTGCAAATTTGTTGATTTTCTTTGCACAGGATACGCACCGACGAGAATAAACTGTGTCCAGAATACCGAAAGGAGTATACCGAAAATCTTGCTGCAAGCAGAAGCTCATACACGAAGCTCAAGCCCTGGTGGTATTAAAAAGTGTACCAGAGGAGCAACAAGAAAAACAACCTGGAGTTGCATTCGCTTAATTACGAACACAAAATACGTGGAGGAACAACCTGACTATAGGGACTATTGGGCCCCTCGTCATTTCTTCAGAGTCCCCAAAAAAGCGATTGTGGCTATATACGGCGGTAATTTTAAACGTATGCCTTGCTAATTTAGTGGAATTGCTGCCAAAAAATACAGACAGGCACAAGATAGCTTTTTTTTTTGGTTGCCCAGTTTACTCAAGTCTTTTTCAGTTATTGATTGAATATGATTTTGGGCTTTTATAAATACATTCTCCTTCATTAATTACATTATCACCTATATCCACATCGTCGTTTGAAGTACAAAACCGCGTATCGTGATTCTGCAAAACCGCGTAACTAACATTGGCTGCCAAAAATTGGATTTGCTCACACAAGCTCTTGGCTCAATCCTTATTTATTCGTCCTGAAATATACTAGGCAGATATGCGATTGCTTTATAAAAAAGATAATCATTTTGAAATATGAGTGTTTTTACGTTCTAGAAAATAATTTCTACAACTTCACATGCGCGGTTTTGCATTTTGCTGATATGCTGATATAGTTTTGTATTTTGTTAATACGCGGTTTTGCACTTTAAACGACGATATGTACATTATTTGCATTTATCTCACATTACGCAGCTACTTTGTGACAAAAGAAACTATAACATTAAAGTTTTTATAAAATTCAGACATATTTAGTATTTTTAATATCACTACGTACGCATATTATTGAGAACTTCTAAACATTAAAATTCGCCTGTAGTTATTTAAAGTAATGGTAATTAGTACTCATTGGCGTAAAAATTTGTATCCATATTTTCAGCTTGGTAATTGACCATCGTACCAATTAAGAAAATCTTTAATGCATGTAATGGGAAGCATTTTGATATACCTAAGCGTAAGCGACATATTTTTCAAAATTTTCTTTTTGATACAGAACTAAATCTAGATGCTCTAGGTGAAAAAAAAATTCGCTTACGTTATTTTGGCGGTTAGGACTCTATATAATAAACATATCGCCGATGTTTTTGCGAATCCGCTCATCGACCAGTTGCCTTTATGCATACGAATCGGAAAATCGTTATTAAAACCAGATTTGTAAAATAATGGCTAGAGAATATGCCGCCTATCAAAGCAATGCCTTTAAAGAAAAACCGTTTTTTCGCTCTCCTGTAAAATTTGAGTGCCATAAGATAGGCGGTTTTGCAAAAAAAAGTACGTATTTCTTGATAAATTAGTAATAACTTGAAATAATCCATACATACGTTTCAAACCAGGCATAGGTGCTTAGTAACTGCATTCTCTTCAACTGCATTTTCATGTTAAACTATCATACTTTCATCCGAGCCTTTTGCTGCTTTATTTAATCAGATCAGCAGCTAAATTAGTTTTCTACGCACGCGTATGTCAAACCATCTTGACAGTTGATTACTGGCTAATGGGTTGAAGTTGTTGGTTTATTGTTATGAGAGGCAAAATCTCACTTTCTTTGTAGCCACGTTCCTCTTTAAAAGCAAATTGTTCTCGTGGACATTTGAACGGCAAATACCGCCATATCTTTGGGGAATGGCCGCCATGCAGCATTAACTCCAACAACTTGTGTTTTTCAGCATTGATTATTGGTTTTCCCACCATTAGTCCACCTACTTAACCAACTGGCCATACACCAACACGTCCAGCTTTAACTTTTGCCATTTCAGCTAACAATTCAACACATTAAGAATTTCCGTCATCCTTGAAATGTACCACAATTGGGATCTTTGCCTTTTAATTTAAACATTTACGGCATTTTAATGTGGAATGTTCACCGCTATACCACTTCGCGCCAAAAACTTGCCAAGTGACTAGCTGTATTGGCTTCTGCAATAATGGACCAATGCATGTTGGGCGCAAGCATGAAAATATGAGACAATCTGTTTTTAAGTAAATAAACCTCATTAAGAATTTCAAAGCAAATAAAATCGACAGGCTATATTGGATAGCGCAGCATGGTACATTGGTACATGCATACACACATATTAACATAAGCAAAAACTTACGCAAATACATCGTTAATTCAGCTTTTTGCGAACGCCGGGTAAACGTTGGTGTTACATGGTCTGTAAAAACTCTGCACCCTGGTATGTGCGTTTACCATAACGATGAACCACCAATATCCTAAGGCGAATCCCAAGGAACGCTATAAGCCGGATACGCATATCAGACGTGTTGAAGATATGGCTTATTTTATTAGTTTCGAATTGTTGATACAGGAAAAATAATTTAAACAAGCGCAACGAAGATGCTGCTAGGTAACCACGCATGGCGTAATGAACTATTCTTGGTAACCACGTACAATTTCAAAGAGTGCTACATGCTAAACGAGAGAAAATACGATAATGAAATAGGGATGGAAAGTCGACTCCGACTTTAGTCAAAAGTCGACTTTGTGTTACTTGCTGTCTCCACAAGCAACCGTTTTTATCTTGATAATAGGTATGTATAGTAACATATAGTCACTACTAATTTGTACAGGAACCAAAATTTTTACTGTAGAAGTTTTAAAGTGTATAATAACCCAGAAAATATGGAAGAAAGCACTGAATAGAGGGCCTAAAAACACAGGACAGCTGCAAATTCTTGGTAGTGAAATTTTTTCTTGCAGAAATTAGCTAGCAGAAGTATAAATGTCAAAAGCCGCCATTTGTTGAATTGGTTTAGCACAATCAAAAGCTAAAAGAGTGGAAATCAAAATATTAATCATGGACTAACTGTGTAAGTGCTTGTGTGTAAAGCAGAGTTTAAAACTGGTTTATAAATAGTAAAATGTTTACAGCAGAATGTCAAAACAGTGCAATAACTATTCACTTGCAAGTTTCACTAGTTGTGTTCAATAACTTTTTCTGCTAGTTTTCTCATCTCAATTTTACGCTCTATTTCGCTTTAACGCTCTCGCGGCAATTTTTTTTTACTGGAGAAGTTACTATAAAAGCTTAATGCTGTCCTTCAAAATTTTGGCAATGGAGACCGCATATTGCTCTTGGCAAGCAATAATTATCACAGCTTTAAATATTGCCGGTAGTAGTGCACTTCAGCGGAACCAGGTCAAAATTGAGAGTAGTATCAATCGACGCGTCCTGACGCCAATAATAATAGTCTGAGAACGGAAATTAACATTTGTATTTTATTAAAAGAGCTATTTTTGCAAAAAACACTTGCACTTTTCGCAATAAGTTTTGATGAATTTGATGCAAGTAAATGGAGTAAATGAACTCAACTTAAAACATATTTATTAGTTTTTATACATTTGTGATGTTGACAGCGCTAACACAAGGCAGAATAAGTGCAGCCTTTTGTCGAGAAAAGAAAATGCCATTATCGTGATTTTTATACCAGAATCGCAATTTTACCTTCTATGGGTATTGAATATA